TAGATCTTTTCACGAAACTTTCACAATTCTTTTTCACAGCACTCCCTTTTCTTTACCCTCGTACTTTTCAAGTCTTTCGATAGCTGCATTTACTATTGCGTATGCGCGGTGTCTCATAACAAACTTCACATTTTCTAAGTGAATAATTCATGTTCCCTTTCCCTTCGTTTTCAATATATTATGTCTCTTCGAATTATCTTTTTTTTCTTGTAATAATCCGTAATCATCGAGCAAATGTAACGTACACTTTTTTGCCATTGAACGGCAGGAGAATAGGCGCATAATTGCGACTGATCGATAATGACCGATAACGCATAGTCGACATATCATCGCCTCGCGTAGTTTAGTGCGATCCCCGGAGTTATAGTCCAAGACTCATGCTTAATTTCCGAGTAGCGTCGCTCACCCGGTAATCGCTCAACCTCCCGACGTCGAGAAACGTTCCGATTCTATGCGAGATAATGCGCGCGACTTCCATCAGCACTTCCGTCGAGTTCGGTCTCCGCTTTGTTGGGATCTGGCCGGGCTTGCCGTACGGAACCTTCACTTGGTTCGCGTACATGACGAGCCTGGTGATCATGATGTACTTTGAGTACGCGTATATTTTCGATCATTTCGACATCGACGACATCTCGAATCTCATCGACGCGCTCAGCATCGCGTTGGCTTGCAACCTCGGTTTTCTCAAGTTGATCACTCTCTGGTTGCATCGCAGGTAGGGAGAAATTCTTTGAACAATTAAAGACAACAGTTTTTCTCTCTCTCTCTCTCTATTTTTTATGCAAAATACGCGAACAATTTTCTATAGGTTATTTTACGATATCCTGCTAGCGATGGACGAGGATTGGAGTAACGTTCTTGATCGCGACCAATCTGTGTTGCGTATCATGTCGAGCAATGCCAATCTATCGCGTCGCTACTCAAACATGTTGATCAGCATCAATACTACCGCCGCGATTTGTTACACCGTGCCCAGTTTTGCGCGACACTCGGCAAACCTTGAGGAGAATCTCAACGACAGTTTGAGAGTACTACCTCTAAAGATGCAGTTTCCTTTCGAGACTAATGCCTCGCCCCTCTTCGAGTTTCTAGCGATCGCTCAGTTCCTTCACGTAGTGTCGATCTCCGCTTTAGTCGCTATGATAAACTGCTTAATCATCACGCTGGTGAGTTTCA